CTCCAGTTCCATTCATATAACATACACCAAGATTACATTGAGCACTGGCATTTCCTTGTTCAGCTGCTTTTTCATACCATTCAACTGCTTTCTGTTCATTCTTTTCTATCCCTGTTCCATATTCATAACATAAAGCAAAATAATACTGAGCAGAGATAATTCCTTGTTTAGCTGCTTTTTTATACCATTCAACTGCTTTCAGTTCATCCTTTTCTATTCCAGTTCCATTTTTATAACACAAAGCAAGATTACATTGAGCACTGGCATTTCCTTGTTTAGCTGCTTTTTCATACCATTCAACTGCTTTTTGTTCATTCTTTCCTACTCCAGTTCCATTTTTATAACATACACCAAGATTACATTGAGCACTGGCATTTCCTTGTTTAGCTGCTTTTTCATACCATTCAACTGCTTTTTGTTCGTCTTTTTCTACTCCAATTCCATTCATATAACATACACCAAGATTGTATTGAGCACTGGCATCTCCTTGTTCGGCTGTTCTGTGGTATAACACATGTTGATTCCCGTTTTCCATTTTTGTGTAGGCAGTATAAAAACGACTAGTACTTGTATATCGAAAATCAGTATCATTAAACTTTTACCAAATATACTCGATGTATTTAAGTATTAATATGTCGTATGTCAGATCGACTAGGAAAAATACGCAAGCATTCCGAGATGTAGTGTAACGTGAAGTTGATTAATTAGGTGTGATCAATTAGGAGAATGTTACATACATGTAGCACCAGCGATAATACTAAAGTTCGAAAGCATACCCTCCCACGTTCTATTTCTCACAAAGTAGTGTGAATTGTCTCGATGGATTATAATTTACTTGATTTAAATAAATCTACTGTACCAGACTTAACTTTTTCCCATTACTGTGACGTGTAAATGTTTGTACATCATACCAACGAGCATAAGAATAATAGACAAGTTCAACACACCGTAACTAGGCAAGATTTTTATGGGGGGCTTCGCCCCCTCCATTGATGTCAGGGATTTACAGTACGTGCCATATGGTTAGTCCTTTATGGGAATGAGATTGATCATAGAGGTATTTTCATTATGTACCTCGTCAGGAAAATCATAAGAACGCACAATTATGTATATCTGCGAGATGTGATTTCTACTATCTGATAATTGGGTTGCTTGCGGCCAGACAGTAGGGGAAGTTTGATTGGGAGTTATGGAACAATGGAATGATAAGATAAATGAGAATTATTTTGTTGAGTCAATCGCAGGCATAACGCAAGGATGGATAATACCAATTATTGTCAGTAGATAGTCATTGTTTTGCAAAAACGCCCCGATTATGCCAGAGTAGAGTATAAACGTTCTTCTATTTTTAGAATACCAGTAAGTGATCGATACTCTACGGAAAGATTTGTACCAGCAGACCGAACTAAACTTGTATGTAGATAAATGGGAGACGGATAGTTCTTTTTTGCGTATTAGTATTGAAGTATTTGAGTAAGTGCAAGGCATGCTCTTCTATTAGAATTTGATTCACATCCATCGCAAACTGCATCTTTTGTTTGATTAGTAGTAAGATTTATTTCAGGGAAAGATATTTCTAATGAATATTCAATGTTATTATTTCTGATTACCCATTCTGCGGATAGTGGATATAATAAACGGAAACAACATTTGAGCATAGTCTTCTTCATAAAGTATACGCAAATTTTTCTGAAATTCGTCAGAAGGATGGGGGGGAAGAGTTAAAAGTTTGATAAAGTAATATATCGGGTTGGGAGGATGAGGACAGTGTACAATGATCATCATTGATAAAGGGGTGATGAATTACGAGCACAGAAGACGATTCGGTTTCATTGATCTCGATGGTGCATATATTGAAAAAGTTTATTTTCAGTTACCAGCGTATAAGATGTACACAGCTACATACAAAGACTGATAGAAGAATTGTGAAAAAGTAAATTTGGAGGAATCCTACTTCCAACCCCTTCTCTTGGGCTATCGCTTGCCACGGGTAAAGATTAGAACTATGTTCTAAACGAGTGAGAAAAATTTTGTTCCCTGTTTTTAGAAGGGTACATTATAACTCGAGACGTTTTTAGTCTATTTTTCAGTTTACTGATAGGGTTTTCCTTAAACCCGGGAACCGTTTGATATTGATAATGAGATAGGGTTATTATGTAGCGGTGAATTCATATACAGTGAAAGAATATACCGGAAATCTGTGTTATGATATAATGTCGTGTGAAAAATCAGTTTTAATTATTGGTAAAACGTAAAATACACAAAACATTTGATTGTGGTTTAGGTCATTTGATGTCATAATTTTCAATGACTTTTACGATATATGTATCTTATTATAGGGATTGCAAAAAGGGCACTAATACATTAATTTTGGTATGGTTAAAATTTTAGTCTAAACGTATAAGAATGATGATCGCCTGGTGTTTTGATTAAATCGCAGATCGCTAATAATAAAAACTAAATAAAAAAATATTAAGTTAAGCATATGTTTCTTAGTTTAAATGGCCATTATTTGTTATTGACAATTTAGTTTATTATTATAACCGTATGACGAAAGATGTATACAAACTCTCGTCACTATCGTATTATCTTAACCTGTGTGTTTATGATGACATTATGAAAGAATGACGTTTACATTCATCGTCATTATATAAAATTTCTGTTGCGGTAGGAAATTTTTGCAGAAGTGACAAGAGTGTCGACTATAAAAAATAAGGCGGGGGTGGGTTCATAAGATATATAGATAAAATTCCCCGCAAAGATCTACATAAAAAATTACTGTAAACGTGTATTTGACGGTTAACGCGAAAAATTAATTAGGAATCGAACAACTCAAACGGCGAATAAGTATCAAGTAAAAGTCAAAAAATGTTAGTAACATTTCCAGATAATAGCGATGAGAATGTACCTTATGTCAAACTTATGTCAAAGAACTTCCGTTATCAAAAATTGCCGATCTTCGGAGCAATCATTAGAAAGATAGATTGCGTTTACGTAAACATTCCTTATTTCAATGTATCTGAGTATGAGTACAAAGTCAATTCAGAACGACAATCATTTCATTTTGACATTCAATGGAAAAAAGAATAGTAATTGTTGTGTTTGGTTTTGGCCGAATAATTACAGGCGCGCTTAAATTTTGAAATAGAGAAAACTAAAACTAATAATAATTTTATACTCACGTACGCGTGATAGTAAACGCAATAATACTGTCGCAGATTACGCTCGCTTATCAACAACGTTCATGTTCACGGTAATATTGATACATGTGTGTTATCAGGATAACGATATTGACTATGATCAATCATTCTTACACTAGTTCGAAATGTTTCAATTTTCAAGTTACGTCCATAGTATCTAACTTTCTTTCTGAATATAAACAAACCCAATAAAGATATACGTGCATCTAAATAAAGTTTAAGTTAGAATAATTGAATACGTTTCACATAGATAACGAATAAATAAATAACCATACTTACGTTAGGCATATTTATATTAAATTTTATAATAATATCATCTTCGGACAAAACGTTAATTGCGCATGGGAAAATGTATTCAGCATCGTAGTTATTATATTTGATGTCCGGCTTATATTGTATTTTTTCAGTCGATGTTTTTATCGTTGTTTACAAAGCAAATGTTTATATTATCGTACAATAAAAAACTATAACCATCAATATTATCTTGAATACTTATTACAATTGTAATTAACGTATCCAAACCATTCGCCAACAAAATGCCGAGTTTATATTTATTTGGAGGTACTTTGAATATTGGTATTGTTAGCTAATATATAATAGTTAATATTCACAACGTATACAGACAATAATAATTATACCTTACTTTACTATTTGCATAAAGGTACAAATTTCCATATTTATAGTTTACTATTAAATAAAAGATGTCAGTAGGATACAGCATAACAAATTGTCACTATAAATTACTTACTTGATGCATTTGTTCCTATCATCAACATGACATTCATACGTTAAATGTGCTTTCAAATGACCTAATAATAATAATAATTAGTATTCATAATAATATACAACTATGTAATTATTGCCAACCCCTTACTTTTGTGCATGTAATAAACTTTTTCAAAAAACGCGTCTATTATCATACGCGTATGATTATAGTAAGTATTGTTATGCTTCTTATACCAAGATGCAGCACCATCTGATGTAATCATCTGTCCCATACTGATGGTTACATAGTAATTTATAATTGCCATTGGTTGATATTATTTCTGTATTTGGGATAGAAACAAAAGTGAACATTTTATTATGGGATATAAATGAGAGGCTGATTATGACGTGGCTGTATTGACCAGTGTGACTAATAACATTTTAAAAGTAATGATGGTGCTCATTCATAACCTACCAGAATGTGATGAATATAAACCATAACAGAATTAATATATGTAGGATTAGCGAGCGATGTTGTGTAAAGAGTATTATAGAGGAATTGAAAATAGAGACACCGTTACAAACCGGTTACCGAACAACAGGGGAAACGAACCTACTGCGAAGAATGATGCCGGGGTTTAATATATAAAAACATTATTATGAAACTAATTTACATTAAATCCACTATGGAAGGCGTAAATGAATTGATAGAGAAAAAGGGAAGGGAAATAAAGACGATAATAGCATTGATTATAATGTATAGCATAGATTTCACTAGTACTAGAACGACTAAAGAATAGGTTATATTCATTAATGGCTTTGTGTCCGAGTATTTCCTCCCATGCAATCGCTCTAGTGAATATGCAAATATACTGTATATGCTTTGTTTTTAACGAATAATAAAGAGACAAAAGGCAGTCGTTAAGCCTGTAGAAAAAAATTTAATTGATTCTTATAGAGCATTGTTTTCATATGATCTGTCCTGTATCAATATCGTAAATATGCCTTCTTGATTTTTTGCAATTGATATTGTCTCCATAAAAATTTCGACCCAAAAAATTTTTTTGTTAGTGCTTTATCGAATCTTTTTTTGTCATGCCTCCAAAACGAAACGTCGAAGACGAACGTGAGGACGCTCCACGGCGATCCAACTTGCCAGAGACGACTCGGTCCTCGCAGCGGGGGGCGCCAGTGATCTTAGACTCTGTCCCGGTTCTGGTGATAGTTATGACTTGGATCGCCTCCCTTTTTCGGCCTCTCTGTTCAAGAACTCCCACATTGAGATATTGAGAGTGAGAGTCAGCCCAGCATCTGCTGAGAGCGATGTTATACCAACAGTTGAAGGTACGAGTTACATTATATTAATAGTCCTCTCAGCGAACACATAATTATTTAATAATTTCAAGCACGAGCATTCCAGAAGAATATGTTTTTCCCAATATCAACCGTGAAATGCTCGAACATCCAAGATTCGATGTTGAGAATATTGGTGGGAATAAGAACGTTCGCACATTCTTGCGAACTTGCATGATGTCGTGCAGAATGGCATGCATGTGGTGGGTACCGACGAAACGTTCACTGATACGCTTGTGGACGGTCTACTGCGCATCGTTGAGCTGGATGGCTGGCCATTAAGGATCAGGTCAGTATCTGAGTTTGTGTCCTGTTTTGACAAATAGACATATAATGCTTCTAAAGTTACATTTTAAAAATCCAGGAATTATCCCTTATGCAGATTATACATTGCCGATTCGCCCCGTGTATCGTCGGATCCTGAATTTGTAGTAAAGAAAAAAAAATAATCTCCGTTGTGGTAGTCGATGCATGTGGATTGTGGCCGTTTGAACAAAAGTTATTTTCGTCGTCTCAAGCAACTTTCTTACAGGATAAACATTTGCAAAACGTCAGACCAACCACTGGATTCGGAGAATCCCAGATCAGTGTCGCTTGCGCAATGAGAATATACGTAAAAAGGAATATCAATATTGGGATCAGACGTTATGGGCTATTCGTACAATTTCTCATTATGTTACGTTTTATAAGGCCGACATTCCTGCCGCGTATTGGAGAGAACTTGAAGATGGTGTGCCGCAAAATCTGTCTGTTGAGGTTCAAAGGTGGCCGCGTGAGAATACTTTGTCGTCCGGTTTCGATCTCGCTCAACCGGCCGGAAGACAGGCTGTGTTGAAAGCTTTAGTCCAAATTCGGGAATCACTTTTAAACGACGATGACTGAATAGCTATCTGATAGCTTCGTTTTTCTGTTTGTCGCTGGTTTTACATTCATTAATAGATACATTGCGGAAAGGCAAAGGGGAATTAGTTCCGAATGAAGAAGAATGGTTGATAGCGTAATGGGGTCAATTAATTACTGTCTTTTTATGTAAAAATAAGTATTTTCATGCAATTTGCATTTCTCGACGAGATAAAATTACAATCTGTTGTAATGGACAAACAACATGTCATTTCATGTGGAACCAATTATCAATTTGGTTTTTTATGAAATAAAGAGCTTAATAATAACCACAAACTAATAAAAATTATATGCAAGAGTACCTGTATATGAAGAATGATAATTATAATGGTTCTACTGAATACAAAAGGCAATGCGTTTTTTGAATATAGGTTGCAATTGCGCTTGTTCCCGAGAGGGAAGTTTGCTGAATTACGTGAGATGTTTCAAGCTCTTTCTCGATCCGAGCAAGATATATTTTTAATGGCCCAACTAAAAACAATGAATGGTGGAGAAATAACTGCCAGTCGACGTCTTAAAAAGAAAACGCGTGCTAATAAGCGAACTTTTTACTACACTGAGATCGCAATACGCCCCTTTGTATCTCAGTATGTTAGGAATTGGTCGCACTCACTTCGAAAACGTCAGAAATCACCTAGCAACGCATGGTATCATACCGCGCGTTCACGGTAACGTAAAAAAAGTACCGCGATGGAAAACCAAAATAATTATTGATATCACCGTTGCTACCGCTGTGAAGAATTTTCTCGAGAACTATGCTGAAATTCACGGATTACCAAGTCCTGGTAGAAATGTCAATCGCATTATTCAATCGCTTACACTTTTGCCAACTGAACCGAGTTACAAATCAGTCTATCGTGATTTTATTGCAGGTCTTGAAAGCGATAGCACGTTGAAATATGACGCATTTCGTAAGTTATGGCACCAATTAACGCCTTATATTCAAATCATGAGTCCACGAACGGGATTTATGTGACACGTGCCAACATTTTCGGAATAATTTACAGTATAATGCTCGTAAGGAAGAAGAAGCGAAAGATTTACCAAAAGTACAAGGAACATTTAGTTAAGGCTAAATTAGAGAGAAACTATTACAACAAACTACGAAATTAGTAGAACAATAAAGGAAATTGGTGATGATAATTACGTTGTAACAAGCGGTAAAGCTGATTATTGTAGCGTTGACGCGACCACTCATTACAGTTACGATTGAGCGCAAAACGTTTACGTACCCAATTCCGATCAACAGGTAAGTAAAATTTATTATATCAGTCCGCGTAAAGAGCATTTGTTTGGTATCCAAGATGAAGTAGTACGCGAACAAATTAATTACGTTCTCGACGAAGACGAAATTATCGGCAAAGGTCCTAATGGTACACTGAGCATGGTATTTGATGGAATAAAGAAATTGAATAAAGGGCAAAAGATTACTTATGATAACGCGGGACAACAGAATAAAAATAATGCGACTATCTGATTTTACTCGTATTTGGTAATTTGCGGTTACTATAAAAGTATCGAATTAAAATTTATGGTACCAGGACATACTAAATTCAAAGGTGACGGTAGTTTCGGACTGATTAAAAAAGCTCTATAGAAAGACAACGGTAAATTGCGTGGGTCATATTATTGAGGTTATAAAAAGATCAAGTACAGCGGGATTAAATAAAGCTCAGCGTTATGACAACGGAGAAGGTTTTCAATACTTAGATCTTAATTCTGTGTTGGGTATTTTCTTTAAGAAATTGAGTGATTTACAAAAATATGTATTCGAAGCAGCTCGACCTAGTATTGTCAAAACTCAGCTGGTTGCTAATGGCGCTTTTACTGAATTTAATTTGTTAAAACTAGAAAAGCAAGTATTTCCAAAATTATCAAAGAAATTAAATCTTTTTCCATTCTCATACTAACCCCTCCTCTTTTTGATTATAAACGACAAGAATATTTTTATCATAATATTTGCCCATTTGTTAGAGATAATCTATAATGATAATATTTCGGTTAACTGCAAATCCTATTACTTTATTAGTTTTTGTTTGTTTTATTAGTATTATATTTTTTATAATTCAATCTTTTAATATTAAAATCATGACAAACCAAATCAATATTTTAACCGGAGAGGAAATAAAAGAACTAATTGGTAATTTAAACCAAAATCCAAATGAAGCAGAGATAAGAGCAGTTATAGATTACTCTTGACTTTGTCCTTATGCATCAAAACACTTAGATATAGAAGACAAAGAATTTAGAAAAAGTTTTGTTTATCCTATTTACATGCATAAAAATGCAGTATCTTGATGGGTAAAACCTGACGAAGTTAAAGGTTTACAGTCATTAATAACCAGTTTAGAGAAAGAGAGAAATGAATTGCTTGAAATAAATAAACAATTAGAAGCAGAACAAAAAGTCTTGGAAGAAGCATTAGAATTAGAGGAAAACATTAAGGTAAAAGCAAAGAAAAAGATGACAACTTGGAAAAAGCTTCGAGAAAAATAGAGATGCTAGGAAATTTTGTGGCATGGCAGAATTATTTAACAAACAAGCAACTTCAAAAATTGCCAACTTTGCCAAATACAAAGAAACAAAACAAATTTAAACTCCTAACTAACAAAATAAAAAACAGAATTAAGCAAGCAAAAGCAATAACTCAAGAGAAGTTCAACACTTACTATTACATCATACAAAAGGATATATATATAATAATGAAGTTAGAATACCAAGCTATTGAGTTAAGAAGAGGCGATAAATAACATTGCAATTTTTGCTCTTTTGAAAAGAAAAAAGTTTAAATGCTACTTACAAAATATTATTTTACAGTACCAGCAATAATGATTATAGTGACATTGCTTATATCCGTGTTGAATGCAAAAAGAATCTTGATGATGATGATGCTCTACCATATTGTAATGATTGTGGTCGAGCTATGAGAAAGAGAATAGATTGCTTCTGTGATTTAAGGAAAAATAAGCCATCAGTTAAAACTCCAACCATAATAATAACAGAAATAATGGAGCTCAGAGTTATGTGGGTAGATTAGAACAACAAAACAAGTGCTAAGGAAGAATTAGTTCTCACTTGAAAGCCTTAGATGTTTCAAAGGATTGACATGACAAACAAAAGCAAGCATTATTGGGTAAAATTCAAAGACTTGAAAATGGGGTTGAATTCTTCAGGAACAGCAGACTCAACATGATTGAAGTTAAAAATAATAAGAGATGACTTTGATTGAAATTAGAGAAGTAATTTAAATTTTATAAGTAATTTTCTCGCTGTCTAGATATTGCTGGAGAGTTTGGGTATCATTGATTTTAAAAATGTATGGAGCAATTTTTTCCACTTGTTTTTTTTAAAACGCTTCTAGTAGTGCTGTAATTCTTGGGTTTCATAGTGAATTTAACGTAAATTAGTTTCATATTAATATATTTATATATAGAGGTAATCCTATATAATATATTAATTTTGTTATGGTTTATATTCATCACATTCTAGTATGGAATATCTTTACCAAAACATTTGTTATTTGTCAGAGATAAATTTAAAGACCCATGAATAATGAATAAGTTTTATGGGCTATAAAAATATATTATGGCAAAAGAATGACTTGTAAAAAGCCTGTAAGCCTTTGAAAAAAAAACTGCTTAAAAGTTTATTGGTAGATACAGAAACCATTTTTTCTTTGACCCAAATGTCATGTTGAAGATTTGGAAGCTTAACTTCCCAAGAATGAGCTGATATTCTACCAGTCTTAAAAAAAGTATTCAAAATATTGATAAAGTTTATCATCTCTTAGCTATTCTATTGTACTATGCTAGGGGTGGTACTTTAGTCTGGTTTATATTTGTTGTATATAATTTGTGTCGCTATGTAATTTGTCGCAGAACCCCTAAAACGCAATTTATATATAATTTGTGGCAGCACACCCTAGAACGCATAACCCCCAAACATGATTTACCCCCAGACAAGACGATGAACACTTTATTATTACATTACGTAAATTTCAATTATAATTACAGCTTAAGAATTCTGACAGTTAGAACTTGTTTTGTGACAATAGTATGTTACATTCTGTTGAGCTATTCTACAACGACATCGACTACTAAGACATGCACTTTGACACATACATTTTGTCTGTCTACCAGACACTACATCAACTTTGCATTTTTGCAGCAAGTTCTTGTAAAATATGCTTTGAGTTACTAAATACGTTAGGATAGTTCTTCTACTGGCTCGGCACATTATAGTAAAATACACTTTGAGTGACTGAATACGTTAGGATTTTCCATTGATGCGATGGTAAAATACAATTATATGAAAATGGCATTTCATTATAAAAATGCAATTCAAGGGACATATAGTTTGAAGAAATATGCTTTGATTTACTAAATGCGTTAGCTTGTTAGTGAGACCGCAAAATTCGCCTTTGTGTGTCCATGATATGAATTAAACAAATTGGTTTGAGTCTAATATTAAGTGCATTTATCATATATCAACTGTTAGTGTCCGAACGACTAATGGTACAACAGAAAATTGTCAGCCTCCAGCTGATTATTTCTAAATACGGATAAATCGTGTGATTTGGTTTAGGCTCGTAGTATGCTGTTTACACTGTATTGTCTATTGTCGTTTTGACAATAAACTATATTAATATTTGAGAGTGGGGGAAGAAGATAAAGAAGGAAGATCATTAGTAATGTAATCTTGTTTATCAGATTCATTTGACGTTTGTGTCTTAAGAGCATGGATAGAAGATTGAGGAAATTTTGTGATAAGGATGTTACAGTAGTAGTAGAAGATTGAGGGTCTATTACTATATTCATAGTTGCTTGAGAGACATTTAGGTTAGTGTTAGTATTAGATTTATTTTGTGAGTTAGTAAATGCAGCATATTAATCGGTTTTCCTTGGGTTAGGACGTGGGTGAGAACGGAGAGGACAATTGCTATTCATAATTCATGTGGTCTTGTTTATGGCAGTAGAGGCAAA